CATACAGTTTGTATATGTTTGGCAAAACACATTTGGTTCCTTTTAGGTGTTGGATATTTTACAATACAATTACATACCAGAATGGTTAGTTTTACCTCTATTAAAAGTTCAACCTATTTGACCTGTCACAACACATCATCAAGCATCTATAGCTATGGAAATAGGAGATTTGTTAAAAAAAGGTGTTATAATAAGAGTGTCCAAAGATACCCCATGTTTTATTTCTTATATTTTTACAATTCTTAAAAAATCAGAAAAGACTTAAGTTATGATAGACTTACGATCTCTCAACAAGTATGTATGACATATTTATTTCAAAATAGAGACAATAAAGCACGTTAAGGCCATAGTAAGAAGAGCTAATTATTTTATTTTTATAGACATTTCAGATGTCTTCTTATATATACCACTATCACAACAAGTATGTTCATACTTTACCTTTGATTTTATGAATCAGAGATACCAATTCATATGTTTATTCTTTGGATTGACCAGCAGCTCCAGAATTTTTACAAAGATATTTAAACAAGTAGTCTCATAGACCAGGTCAAAAGATATAAGAATGATCACTTACCTTGACAATTTGTTAATCTGTATCAAAACAAAGGAGAAATCTGCACAATACACAAACAAGTTTACCTGAATGCTAAGATCATTGAGTTTTATCATAAACTTCGAAAAGTCCAAAATAACATTTTTTCAGACTATAGAGTATCTAGATTCTATACTGAACTCCAATACAATGACAATAGCATTACCAAAATACAAGATAAAGGACATTATATGAGATTGCAGAGTGGCATTAAATTTCTCAACAATACATATAAGAAAACTGGCAGCACTCATTGGCAGGCTCTCAGCTGCTATTGGAGCAGTATTTCCTGTCTGTTTAATGACTAAAGTTCTATTAAGAGACAAGAACTGGATATTAAAAAGAAATAACTAAGACTTTTATCTCACTCTCTCTTAGAAAAGTACTCTACAGTTATAATGCTAGATGGAAAACTTGAAAAAATAGAATGGTGTAAGCATGATTCCAGATCTTTCAACAACAATAATCTATACAGACACATTACTTCAAGGTTAGGGGTAGCTTGAGAAGTTTGGCTTCTCTATGAACATTGGAACCTAGGTTAAGAGTATTGGCAAATCAACATATTGGAATTAATGGCAATACACTACACATTTCTGACATTCAAGAATTTGAAAGATCAATCCATCATCATAAAGACAAACAATATAATATGCATAGCATATCTAAATCATCAAGACAAAGTATTATTAAACAACCTAAGCAGACTAGCAGAAGAAATTTGAAAACTTTGTCTCTTTCGAAATCTCAAATTAGTAGCACAGTATATATCAGAAAAACAAAACATTTTAGCAGATTTAGCCTTGAGATAGACTTTCGATTAATATGACTAAATGATAAAATCACAAATCTTTTTCAAAATACAGAACAGATGGGACTCTTTTCAAGTAGACCTGTTTGTAAACAGAATTAATACTCTTTTCCTAAGTTATTTTTCCAGATATTCAGACCTGTATTGCATGGCAATAGATGTACTGTCTCAGACTTAGGAAAATATAAAAAGTTGAACAAACCTACTTTAAATAATGCTGCACAAGATTTTCTCCAAAGTGATCAAGGACTAAGTAACTATAACAGTAGTAGTATCTTATTAGACAACAGCTTCATGGTTTCCAGTACTGCTGGACCTTCTAATAGATCTACTGATTCTGTTGCAAGACAAATGCCTCTTTATACCCAGGAGGATAAGTTACTAATATCCAATTAGGAACCCAATGTAGAAAATATTTATTTGTCTTATCTTAGGGAAATCCTTGCTAAGAAGGACCTTTTACCAGAAGCTATTATATTGGTGAAGAAAACAACCCAAAGATCTTCAAACATTACCATTGGCTCAGCTTTTAAAAAATGGAATATTTGGTGTAAGGAAACATTTGTGAATCCTATTCAATGTTTTATAAAAAACATTGCTAATTTCTTGGTAAAAATATGTGATAAGAGTATGTTATACAACACAATTGCATCATACTAATTAGCAATCAGTGAAATTCATAATTAGATTGATGGTCTAAGAGTGGAACAGCACCTATTAGTAGCCAAGATTATATTATCAATATATAAGAAAAATCTACCACCTTTTTTTCCAAACAATGCTATTAACATAATCTCTGCTTTTGAGTATATAATGGTTATAGGTTCAAATGAAAATATGCTAACCATAAACCTTAATAGAAAGACAGCCTTTTTATTAGCTATTATATTAGTAGCAAGACCAAGTGATCTATAACATATATCTCTTAAGTCTATGATACCATTGCAGAATGGGTTCTTATTCACAATTTGTGATTCTAAAGAGCACAAAATTTCAATCACACATGAAGCTAAAAGACCAAGATATAAATCAATAATAATTAAATTCTATAGAGAAAAACCTTTACTTTGCTTTGCATCAACTACTGGATCACACAAAAAAATGAAAAACAGATGAAATTAAGAAAAACAGATTGTTTTTAATATTAACCCATCTCATAAACCACCTGCAGTAGATATAATCTCCAATTGGCTTAAGAATATACTTTATATACAGACCTCAAAGCAAAAGTGAAGGACCTAAGAGCAATTTTAGCTTTTTTAGCTTAAGAATCTGGGGCAGATGTGAATTCGATCCTGTCACTTGGCAACTAGTCCTTATGTGAAGTTTACCAAAAATTCTATTAGAAAGGAATTAGAAAAACACTTGAATGCAATTATATAACAAACAAGATTTTAGACTAGGCAAGAAACAAATAGTTACTTCACAGGAAACACATAATATTGTCTATCAAAGCATTGTGATGTTCATTTCGACCAATGGTCAAGTGAAATGAAAATTATTGATAAATGGATGAGCATTGTGAAGATAGACAATATCTTGGCACACCTTCCCAAATTACAATTTTCTCTCACCTCCCTATTTATATTAGTAATAAACAATCTAATGAGATTAGAATAGTGCTAGTAGAGTATTTATACAAAAAAAAAATATATGAATTGTGCACATGCTTTGTAATATATAAGTTGGTTAGCCAATAATAAAACAAGCCAAACACATATATGATATTGTCTATCTTTGCAATGCTCATCTATTTTCCAATAATTTTTGTTTTACTTGACCATTAGTTGAAATGTTACACATCACTCATGATCTGCATTCTGCATACAATTATTATATACAATGAATTTTATTAGTTTTTTCGAACAGACATTGTATTGAAATTGTCTAGAAGTATAAGTCCTCTACTTTGTTTTAAACAAAAATAAATCTTATCCAATTTTTATAAAATTTTAGGATAAGTATAACATAATATTGTGAACATGTTTATTTCTTAATTTATTTAATAAAAAATATATATATTTTTTTTATTTTGATGACAATAACAGTTGGTTTATTAGCTTTAATTTGATATAGTACAAATTTATGGTTATATTTTTTAGAAACAATTATTATTAGTATGATATACTATCTAATTTTACACTACTGACTTCATCTGGTTACCCTTATAGCACCTAAGTGTATGTTTACTACATATCTGCATACAGTTATCTTAACAACTATTTGTAATTAGGTTATATCATTAAACTGCTATACAGACAAGAATACTTACCAAACTTAATATGATATCCCAAATGTTAGAAGTATTGTCTTTTGTAAATCATATTTATAAATCTTATTCATATGTTTTATCTAGTTTTGTTTCTTTTGTCTCTTAATTTAACTATATTTAGTATTATCTTGTTCCTCACATTTTTTATATTTTTGTCATTATATCATTCTCAATTTGGTCCTATTCAGGTATGTTTGATCCTTATGATCTTCTTATCTTTGGTATGACTGTTATTAATTCCTCTAAGATGTTATAACAATGGTCCAGAATCTGCAATAAATCTGTATCTCAAGTCAGATTTGTTATTGTCATTAGTCTTTTGATCAATCTGTATCTTAAATCAGATCTGTTGTTACTATTTTTGCAGATGCTCTAGGTCTTAATGTTATATAATAACTCGATATTGCATTTAACTTTCAACATAATGCTTCTTTCTATGATAGAAACTGAGACTTGTTGTATTTATAAACAGAATAATTCTGATTATATTTAGGAAATTCTTTCAACCTTAGTAATACTATACTACTATATATTGCAAGTTCTTAATTTATTTAATAATATCTGCAAGACAATTCTAGTTATGTTCCAAGAAGTTATACTGATTCTAGTGATGTCATACTACCTTGCAAATCTTATCTTATATTGGTTGGTTGATCCTAATCTTGTTCATTATAGACTTCCATATAGGTATGATCAGGAATCTGATTTGGTACTTTTATATTATCCCTTAGATTGTAACACAGGCAAATTTGCCTGCATAATTTTTTTAAAATTAATTTTTATAATAAAATTTTAACAATTAATTTTAGCAATATA